CAAGGATTGTTTTCAACATACAGAAAAGATTATTGCAGACGACCAGACTTCGTGGAGTCTCACGCTGTTGTATCTTCTCAAATAGTAAAACATGACATTTCTTCTCAGTAAACATTTTAGTTGACCGAAAACCGACCTTTAACATACTTACATTACTTGGCTCATTTCAGACAGAGAATCAAGAAATGCATATTAACCTGATTTCTTCTTTAAATGAGGAATAAAAATCATTACTTACTGTTTATGTAAAATAAAAATGAGTAGTTCTTTCCAACCTGTAAGCATTGAATGGAACTAACACAATTTGATTATCAAACATTTGTAAAACAGTAAATGATTATAGAGAATTGTCTTTTCTGCTTGATTAATTCAAGAAAGAAAGTCACCAGATGGCTCAGACTGTATTCAGATCAATGAAATAACAGTCCCTGTCCATCTGATAGATTTGAGGTCATCAGGGTCAGATCAGGGTCAGATCAGGTTCACTACACCACACAGGACAGCTGTTAGCGGAGTGCAGTAGTCCCTCATTTATCGTGGACGTTAGGGTCCACGCCCACCCGCGATGAGTGAAAAACCACGAAGTAGGGATACAGTAATCCAAGTTCAAGTTCAGTTCAAGTTCAGTAAATTTGTTATGACATGTGCCAGGCTACAATCACACTCATCACCTGTTAAGCCCCCAGTATACTCCCACGCACCTCTGCAGGGCATGTCTGCGCAAAGCTCAATTTTTAAGATTGCGTACGCGGTGTTGCACAATAAACTGCCCGGTGACAGACTGTTTTGTATGCGACACCAATGTATTAAATTCCCCTTCTTCATCCCTGATCTGGCCTTTTCTTTTGTTTTTTTTTTGCCAAAAGGCAGTGATCTCTTCCTCCTCCATTGATGCCATGACTGAAATGGTGAGAATTGAAGGAATGTGTCATGAATGAATTAAAATCAGTCCCTTGTGGCTGCGGGAGGGTCTGAAGATTTCCTGTTGGGCTGGTCTGATGTGTGGGCTGCAGGACCAGAGCTCCCTGTTTTTTATTTTATTTTTTTTAACTTTTTATTAACAACATATAAACACAGAACACCGCTGCAGCTGGGGCTGCCAGCTCTCTCTTTTTTTTTTTTTTTTGGTTGACCTGTCAATCAATCCAGTAGGCGTGTCAGCAAATGACCAATCGGCGACCTCA